ACCCCCCCCCCAACAACACCCAACTTTTGGTTACTAAAGTGAAAGTCCCTATTTTGACAAATTATCTCACAACATAAACCAGAATCTTTTCTATATATTGCCTGCATCTGTGCACCAAAAAGGGCAGTGACAGAATCTTGCAGGATAATGTCAGCTTATCATTTCAATTTTTTTGCCATGTGTCAGGTATGGTTACCTACAAATTTTGGTTTCAACAAGTGCAAAATTCTGAGTTTACAGTTTATGTCAATCTTTGTTGCTTAGGCATTAAATAAAATTCTCCAACCTTGGCCTAATTGAATTTTGTCCCCATCTTCATATTTTAGCTTGAGACATATTAACTACATTGCTTAGCCTAAAAAAGAGAAAGGAGCAACACATGTTTTATTCATTAGTTCTCTCAGTTGGATTTGTTCAATAAAAAGAAATGTTCTAATTGTTGACTTGAAGCATTACCCTGCACCAACAAGGTGTGTTAGCGAGAAAAAAATGAAAAAAATTAACGTTTTTCTTTTTTCTTGTTGTAGGCATGGGAACCAAAATTGAATATTCCATAAATCCTTTAGCAACCTTAGTAGACAGCAACAACTTAGCTGTGGGTGGCGTGGATGTCTGGGAGCATTGTCAGAACAAGCATCAAAGGACTGGAATCAATAAATTGCAAGGTCCCATGGATAGGATGCTTGACAGAAACAATATAGAATCCATCAAAAACACAATGCAGATGCATGAGGACATCTTCAAACATCAGGTATCCTGAAGATGTGGTATGATTTAACTTTTCATCTCAACAAATACAAAATTCATGTTGCCATAAAATTTGTGCCACAAATGTTACATTACTTGAAACCATAGTCATTGTCATAGAGTTAGTCAAGTGTATTAGGCTTTTTGGGCTGTGAATTTATGAGCATTCCAGATTGAAGGAGAGGCTATCCATTTCTGCGGCCTTCTCTTTATCTTTGGAGGCCACTGCACTGCATGGCCAAATTGCAATGCAAATGCAATCGTAATACTTTGAAACTAAACATACTGATGTCTAAATCAGTGTATGATGAAGTCCTTCTTATGACATCTTATCCATGGCCAAATTTTCATATCACTCTATGAACTTCATTAATTATTTATTATCAATTCGAAGCAGCTATGATACGTGAAATATTAGTGCCATCCCTTTTGAAGGGACATGAGGATCAGAAACAATTTCAATCTTTTACAAGTTAGCAATTATGAGAACTTGGAATTTGCAGGTAAGAGAGCTACACCGGATATATAGTGTGCAAAAGAGGCTGATGGAGGAGCTCAAAAATGAAATTAGACAACAGAAATTTTGGAACCACGTGAATGACATAGATGTAAACCACCCACATTCTATTAAACAACATCATCAAACCACACAGATTTCACACAAGCCTGATTTCAGCGTTCAAAATTTGAGAGAGGACCTAAATACAAGAGAAAAGAGTGTATGCTGCTCTGGAAACACCATCCAGAGGCAAAGAGGTTTTGATCTTGAAAGGCCAGCTGAGGAAGACGTTTTTACTCAAGCACGTGGCTTTGATGAAGGTGAGGCAGGGCCTAGCTCCAACACTGCACTTCAGAGTTGTAAAATAAGTACTACTGGTGGCTATGATGAAGAAGTGGAAGTGGATTTGACACTAAGTATAGGAGGTAGTAAAGTTAAGAACTCTCGTTTACCTCAATTAGCATGCTCAAACTCAACCAAAGGGAAAACTAGGAACCTCAATTCTTCCGGCTCCTTCCAATCAGATAGAGATAGAACAGGAGAATGCAGTGACCCCACCACCCCAATGAGCAGCTCCACTGTGAAATTTACTCAGCAAGGAAAGGGGCCACATTGGCTTTCTCAAAGTCTAAAGCTTAAATAGCACCATAACTTGTTTGTATCCTTTCAACTCTACATGGACCACTGAAAACATATGGTTCAAGCATTCAGATTCCTAGATTACTTTCTACTTTATTCCAATAATAATAAACGTATAGCTTATACACCCACTTCTGAGTGCCCTTTCTGTATATAGATAGTAGTGAATTTGCATTTTGCAGTGCTTCTAAAACTATATTCATTTTCCAACATGTTTTTTTATCTAACGTAATAATGCTATTGTAAATGTTGAACTTTATACTACTGGATGCCTCGAGTATTCAAGTGCAAAAGAAAGTTCATTCTCAAGAGACTAATTAATAAACTAAAAAAGGATACAATTCTTATTTTGTAAATGACACGCATAGTCACCAAAAAGGCTAAGAGCATCACATGGCAAAGTCTCATAATAAATGGCTATGATTCTGTCTCTTGCAAACAGAACAGTCACAATATGTAGGTGGATTCATGATTTTGTCTGCACAGAAGTTGTATCACATGAAAGATAATGTGATTCTTATTGTCCGTGTCAATTCCAAACTCTCCTAGTAGTGTTTTGAGCTCAGTATTGAAGTCCTTTATAACTGTATATGGAGTTACGAAAACTCTATTTTAAACATACAACCTTTATTTTACAACTGTAAATGGATAAGTAGCGTGACACTGAACAAAAATAGAATTTATTGTCAACAACTAGGTGGTGAAACTTTTTCTTACGAATTCAAGAGTAAGTTTGGCATGGTGATATAAGTTTCACATTCAAAGAGAATAGACAAAGTGAGGAATATATAAGGTTTTCAGTTGGACATGAGGTCAAGTCCAATTTTCATACGATTGATTCAGTCCTTGAACTCACCCATGAAAGAGAAATAATTGAAAATTCAAAATTAAGTTCTAAATAAATTAGTATGGGAATTATCAAGGTTGGGAATTTTATAAGTGTGAATTATAAAAAAGAATTCAAGCGTGAATTCCAATTAACTGTGTGAGCAAACAAGTTTACTTTATTTGAGGCATGGTGTAAGATCCAATGTTATGATTTCTCCTTAATTCCATTATAATTAAATTTTGGGTTTCACAATCCTAACACTTCTTACCGCTCTTATTTAAGACACCTTTTCTACATATTTTGGTAAATGCACAAGACTTTTTTTTAATTCAGAAATACACAGGATTTAATGATATTTTTTATATTCCAATTTATCCATCAAAATGATATAGTTATTTATTTGTAGTTTAATTAGAATAACGACCTCTAATTATTATTTTTAAGAGCAAACAATAACTGACTTTCATTCTATGCTTTTATGCGCAAAACTTTATAAGTACACCTCCTTTTAAAAAAAATTAATTTTTTAAAATATTTCTAATTTTTTTAAAATTTTTTAATTTTACATTCACAACATTTAATTTTAGTACTTTTTTTCACATATCATTCATCTATTTTTCAATTTTTATATGCACCTCCTTTACCTTTTTTTCACCCTACCTATTTTGATAACATATGAAAACTAAAAGAGAAAAAAAAAGTGTGTGAAATAAAAGAAGAAAGTAAAAAATTAAAAGTTGGAGGTGTAAAATTTAAAAACTAAAAAAAAAATTATAATATTTTATAATTTTAAAAAAAAAAAAGGAAGTGTAAAAAAAAAAAAAAAAAAAGGAGATGTATATATCATGAGAAAAAAAACATGTATGGGCCCCTCATGTCACACGGTCCACGCAATTAATACGAAAAACTGTTTTCCTGATCCATACGAGCTCAGGCTGCGGTATCGCAGTTTCAACATGATTTATTTATTTTTCCTACATATTTTTAGTGTACTTAAGTACTATTTTTTAGTAAATTATATATTTTTATCTTTTCTAATTCATAAATAATAATATTATTTTTTATTTATTTTGTTCGTGAAAAAGGTGTTGATCAAATTCAAGATGGAAACATGATTTTGGTTGGTTTTGATGATTACAAACAAATCTATTGAAAGATAAGAGTGTAACTTGTATTTTATTTTGTGTTTTCAGTCTCTTGAAAGAAAAGAGGGGAAGTTCTATCTTATTTGTATGTTTAAAGTTTTGTTGTTTGAATTGAATTGTAAAGAGAAATGATATGAAAAATTAAGATATTAAGTTTTTACTTAAAATAATCAATTATTTTAAATAATAATCGATTATTTGTTCTATTTTATCGTAATCTAAAAAGCAGTTGCAGTAATAATTGATTATTTACTAAAATAATCGATTATTTCAAAAGATGATTTTTAGAATAATCAATTATTGCTCAAAATAATAGATTAAACTGTTTTTTGTTGATTATTGATCTGTTAAGAATAAAATAATCAATTATTCATATAAATAATTAATTATTTTAATTAAAAAAAACATATCATTTTTTCATATTCAGAATAAAGAGATTTAAATATTTGTGATATCTTTCTTAAAAACACTTTTTGAAAAATGTTTTTCTTTGCAAGAAGAGGTTCTTTAACTTATGTAGTAACCTCAAGAAAGTTTTAAAGAATTAATTTGATCATCATATACATGGAGTGAAAGGATAAACTACTTTGGTTAATTTACCTACTCTTATATATTCTATACATCAGGTGAATTCATTCCTTAACTTCTGTATTTTTATTTTTCTTAGAGTAGATTTCTTAAAAAAGGAAAATCTTTTAATAAGGTGCTACAAGTAAATTCTTTTTAGGGTGCAAAAAGTGGTTTCTTTAATAGTGTAGAAGTGTATTGTATGTGATATTTTGATTGTAAGACTTCTGATATTAAAAATTAGTAGATGTAAGTCATAAGTGAATGTGGTTAAATCAGTATAAATTGATTGTGTATTTTTCTCTCTACCTATACTTAACTTTACATTCTTTCAATTCTATTTCTATACTTGTTATTATGTGTTATGAAGTATAAGCATTGCATATAAAATTAAGTTAATTTAGGGTTGCATTGAATTTGAACATGATATCCTATAAACAACTATAGATTAATATATATACTTCTTTTGAAAAGATTTAGAAAAAATTTTCAAAATCAAGAAAGTTGTGCAAGAAATTTTTAAGCAATTAATTCACTCCCTTCCCTCTCGTTAAACAATCTTTTCTAATAAAAATAAATTTTCAACATTTATATGGAAATTAATTGGGATCATATAGAAGAAAATAGAAAGTCAAAAATCACACTTTCCTATATACACAACACTATTGGAGCACTAAGAAAATCTATTGAGATATTAAAGATTTAATTTTTACTCCCTCCAATTCACGATGATTGCTTTTTAAGATTTCTATATATAGAATGAATATATTATTTTGAGTTGCGGTGATTGAATAAATTATAAAAGGATAAATTAAAAAAATAATTAATATTATATTAAAAAGTGAGAACATGATTTATTTTAAAATATTCTTCAAATGATAAAATTGTTATAATTATGAAACGATAAAATATTATTTATATTGATATGGATTAGGCATCTTTTATGTCTTATTATATTTTGAGTCTTATTTGTTAAAGTAGTATAAATTAATTAGTACGAACTTATCCAAATTTTATATGGATCATATTTTTCTTTATTCAACCAATTTTGTAAATTTGTAAGGACAAGTCATATCAAATTACTTTATTTTTTTTAATCATTTTATATGTAAGTTTTTATTAAAAAAAATATATTAAACCTACTTTTTGTTAAATTGACTTGGCACATTGGATCAACTAAATCGGTCCAATTTTAATACCTCTATTCTTTAGAACTCTATTATTTTTATTATGTTTTAGACCGATTTTATATATCATACTTTTAAATAGTTTAGAAACTCTTAAAAGGGACTTTTGTCACTCTTATCTCTTCATGACTAGGCATCAAGTTTCTCCCCCTTTTTTTTTACTTTCTCTTCTTTACTTTTTTTATTTTCATGTCTCTCATGAGAAACTAAATATTTTTTATAGTTGAAGGTTAACAGAGACTTTATGTTTTCAAGGTTTGAAAAGTTTAGTAGTTGTTTATTTTCCTTTTATTTTAGAGCATTTAGGGTTCTACCGTGCTTATTATAAAATTGTTATTTTAGTTGTGGATAAGCTTATTTTGAGTAGAATATTAAAAGGTTCAATATGCACTTATGCATGCTTTTGTTTTATTGAAGAGAATAAAAATATTTTATTGTCTCTCTTTGCTTCTTTCTTTTTTTCAAAAACATTATGCATTAATTATACAATGATCTTGTAACTTGAAGCAATGAATGGAGCTCAAAGAACTCCACCAATTATTAATACAATAATGAATTATCACATATACATAACTCATACAAACTCAAAAAAGGAATGATGATACCACAATAGTAGTAGTACTGTTCTAGTTGGGCCTGGTGCAATCAAACCTAATTTCACCTTGATTTCCAGTTTTAACACCAACCCTTCCCAACTTAGTAATAGCATCAACAAAAGCTTTCTGAAAAGCTCCTTCATTTGATGCAAATAAGTTAACTGTGGCCTTTGACCTTGCATCTGTGAACAGCACCTGATCAGAAGTGAAGAGACCCTTTCCTTGCTGCAGATTCTTGTAGTATTGATTGTCAAATTTTTGAGGTGTAACAGGGTCCATGTTTATGGCAATTCTTGGATCAACCCTTAAGGGGCACATCTGTCTTAGCTGAAAAGCATATTGTAAATTAAATGTTGGGTCAATTCTGTTTCTGGGGCCGAAATTGTAGATTCGTTTTGAGAACCGGTTGCAGTGAGAGAATCCAATTGTATGAGCACCTAACACATTAAAACACATTACTTTTCAGGCTTTGTTAATTCTTATTATAAAATTAAACTAGATAAGATTCATTATCTCACTACTATAATGTAACATGTTATTCCATTGAAGCATTTTGTTTTAGCGGTGTTATTAGTGTAAATCACTAACTTTATCAATAACTTACTAATCATATTTAGTAAGATCTATTGTTTTAACCATTTTTTTTCTTTCATTTACAAGGTTTGAACTCGAAATTTTATTTAAGATAATTGATCAAGTTTAATTCCACTTAAACTAACAATTTATTGATGTTGTTATAAGTATGATTAAAAAAAATAATAAGAACCTTTATTTTCTGCCAGTGAATTTACCTGATAATGCAATCAT